GGGGGGGGGAGGGACTCCCTCATAAAAGGGGGCGGGGGTCCTCGTCGGAAATTCAGAGAATGACCCATAAAAGGGACCCGTATTTTAAGATGATGGGCGTGGCAGTGATTAAATTTCACCCCTAAGAGGGACCAATCAATAACGCATTTTTTTGCTTGGTTTCTCGATTTTATTTGCATCAAACGCCGTCTGTTCTAACGAATTTATGACGACGTCATGCATCATATACAAATCGCTTGCCTTTTTGTAGATCTTGTACCCTAAAAGGGACAACAAAATTCAGTTGGTGCGCATTCCCGTCGTTATCACCCTAAGCGGGACCAAAATCCTGATTTCAAACCCTAAAAGGGACGACGAGGACCCCCGGCCCCTTTCATAAGGGTGACAAGATAGAATGAACAATGCACAATGACTACTACCATTATTTGACGTAATAACGGCCGGCTTTTTTCTAGGAACCAGACCCTGAGCCTGTCATTAAGCAGTTTGCCGCTGGATTCAATGTTCAATTTGACATGTTTTCCAAGATTAAAGTGAATGGATCAAACGCTCTTCCACTGTACAAATATCTCAAGAGCGAACTCAAAGGAACGTTAGGCAGGTGAGTTTAATGATGATATTCGCTCGCTGCTGCCTACAAGTAACTACTTCCACACAAGGATGGCTTTAAGATTGGGTGCCCGTGGTAGAGACCCCTTTCATTTTTGCTGCGCATAATCGACAAAATGTAATTTTGTCGAGCATGCGTAGTAAGAACTTTCATTGAGCATGCGTAGCAAGAATGACAGGGCTTTGGGGTCGAGAGGAAACTGAGGTTGTTTTGGGTATACACAGGAAACCCATTCTGAAGCTTTTCGTAGATTTGGATTTTAATAAATGTCTTTCACGCGGAAAAATGCCTGTTATAATATTTTATTCTTCCGTTTCTCTTCGCAGTTTTATCAAATGGAATTTTGCTAAGGTGAGGCAAAGGCCCTGATAACATTCTCGTTTTCTCTCCAGTTTCCAATCTTTAACCTTCAAAGTCATACCCTGCAACAACCTCGCAAGCTGATCTAAATCAGTGCACGGCTAACTCACRCGTCTACCCTGAAAAAAACTGACCCGTGGGCTGATCGAAGTCAGGGCACTGCTAACTCACAGATCAAACCCTGAAACAACCTCTGGGCTGATCTAAGTCAGGGCACTGCTAACTCACAGATCAAACCCTGAAACAACCTCTGGGCTGATCTAAGTCAAGGCATGGCTAACTCACAGATCAAACCCTGAAACAACCTCTGGGTAGATCTAAGTCAGGGCACGGTGAAAACGTTCTTTCTTTTATCAAAACAGTTCTTATGTAATCGGGATGGCAAACCAGTCAAGAGATATGCACCCACAGTAGGTCCTCTGGTAAGTCTTCTCGCGTGTATCCAAAACAAAGTAAACCTCATGTCACCTCATTATAAAAATGGTATGATATAAAATTATAGGTGCTGAACAGTGGAGGGTCGAGAGGATAATTAATTGATGAATTAATTGATAGTCAATCATCGTTATTGACATCCTTATTATTAACATCATCATCACCATCATCGTCATCATCCTCGTCACCAGGGCCATCATCTTAGTCATCGTCGTCATCACCAACAGGGCCATCATTATCATCATCATCATCATCAATAACATCATCAATATCATCATCATCCTCATTACCAGGGCCGTCATCATCATGATCATCCTCATCGTCATCATCACCAGGGCCTTCATCACCATCATCATCAATATCATCATCATCATCATCACCAGGGCCGTCATCATCATCATCATCATCACCAGGGCCATCATCATCGTCATCGTCATTAATGAATTACTGATAACAAAGATATAAGCTCTACAAACTGCTATCAGCGGAGTACATATTACAGCCTGGCAAGCAGTTTCCGATCTTAGCTAATGCTAGCAATTCATTGTGGGCAAGTTTTTGCTAATGTTTGGTTATGTTTGTAGGATCTGGCTGGAGACATTGAAGAACTTCTTTAGTAATGCCGCCAGAATACAAGGATATATGCAAGCCATTTCAGTAAGGCAAGGTTCAAGACGTACTAGAATATATTATGAGTATAATGCTGCCCACTGGACTACTTAGACGATACGACGGCCATCTTGACAGGGCGGGGGGTGAAACAAAAATGACGGAAAATATATTAAGTTTCGTGTGTTTGTCTTTCTTTTATGGGTAAAGGTCATCGATGTGCCGTCCTAATTTATTTATTTTTAGTTGTTGTATTCTCTTGTGGTGGGCTGTTAATATCAATCGACGTCATTACTATAGCAAAGCTTTATTTGTCCTCTCGACGCTCCATAGTGCTTTGCGATCCAAGATGGCCGCCGTATCGCGAGAGAAGTCCATTGGGACAATGCAGCTTATTACTTATTTCACCTGGTGGGGAAGGGAGATGATTTTTGAACTGATCTCCCCAAGAGCCACTATCCTTTTTAAATATATAATTATCGATGAAATATCTATTTTTCTCTTTTACTAAAAAGTGTTAGATTGAAGGCATTTAACCCGTGAAATATAAAATATTAGTCAACGTGTAATAGTCAAATAGGTACACAAACAGGTTTAATGACTTCACTCTATCTGCACATGTGAGGATCAAATACTACATGATATTTTCACATGTGAAAATAACACCATTGGTAAGAATTCCTACGAATCGTAGCATTAAATCAGTAAATATCCACTAAAATCGTATTTCATTGAGAATTATATATTTAACAGAATATTAGACCCAAAGTATAGCTAGAGTATAGCCAAATTGTCTAAAATACATGTGAATCCCACAGGCGATAGGTAATGACTGATTCCTAAATAGCATTATTGTTCTTTCAGTCAAATCACTGATAACCTGTTTCCAAGCATCAATGTTACCAACGTAAGATGTGCCAGGAAACTGCGATTATCGTTGTCGGTCAACATTGATCTAAGGTTAATTGAGATCAGAGGTCTATTTGAATGGTAGTGGAACTATACATTTGTTTCCATTTTATATTTATCCAAAATGAAAATCCCTCACGGGCTGGAGAAGGTGACACAGGAATCCCACGCATCATTATGGTCTGCTATTCTCGATGTGCGGGCTAAAGGCACATCAAGACACTACAAAGTTGTGCTGTCGATTTCTTTGAATGACGATCAGCTCGAAAACTGTCATTTTTCAGCGGGACTGATCTGATGTGTGCAGGAAGGAAGAAAACAGCCACTTTGAGTGTATTTTCTTTGTTTTGCCAAAGTGAATTCCATTTATTTTGGTGAAACAAGACAGCCTTCTTGGTCACGTGACCATGTTTGTGGTTGTCACGTGACCATGTGCGTGGTGTTCACGTGACCATGTGAATGGTGGTCACGTGACAATGTGCGTGGTGGTCACGTGGCCATGTGAATGGTGGTCACGTGACCATGCGTTTGTAGCCATGCGCGTGCTCAGCCCGAATCACACGAAAAAGTGAGAACTTGATCTTACATTAGTCAAGAATGACTGAGGATAGATAAATATCCTTTATTTCCTCATTTCGAATTGCCTCATAAATAAATACTCAGTTCATTTATCTCATTAAGACATTTTAGGGTGAAGTGCGGTTAATATTTTTCCCCGTCATGGCGAGACAAAATACAAAGTTACTCTAAAATGTCTAATAAGAAGTTACTTTTTATCATTCAGATTTTTACTTTTTATCAAAAAAGTAGGGCTTCTAAACAAAAGTTTTTCTTTGAACCAGCTTTCAAAAACCATTTCGTTTTTTGCCGTACAAAATAACCTAGAGTACAAATATCGCATGATATTTGTACTCGCCCCAGACTTTCTCCTGCTATATGCGGTCATACTGCTGAGTGTAGTTAGATGGTCAAATACGTTCATCTGGTATGCCAAACATGGATATCACAATAATAGTATGAATAAAAGTAAAATTAACAAAATTTTTATATCGTAGAAGCGGCTCAAATGCGAGTTGAAGCACAAACAATCACAAAAAGTCAAAATACCTTGTACAAGAGACTTCAAAATTCGTAGCAGTAATTTTTAGTTAAAATTTTTTTTTTTCACAGCTATTTGTGCTACGTGCGCGTCCCACATCAGCTGTTAATCTCGGGGCTAAGACCCTAATTATTTCATTCATTCGTTTTAATTGCCATTAATCCGTTTTAATATCCCGTCGCAAGAGTCATCATATTGTAAGATCCTGATCAGGTCTTCCTATGCCGACTTTTACTAATATTCAGCTTTGGTACTGTTTACATTCCATTTATTTATTGCCAGAGGCATTTCCTCAATATAGTCATGATCATCGTATGGTTTTCAATCATTGTACTCGACCTTTTTTCTCGCTGACCAGTAATAAAATATTAAGTTATTGGCTTTTCCTTCTCTGTAGCCTCGGGGAAGTGTCGAGACGGTCTCCGAGACAGTTCGATAAATCAGTCGCATTAAAGACTTGTATAAAATTAAATACGCTCTAATCACTTGTCATACTCAAACGACGGTCGAAAAAAAGCCTTCAAGCTTTCAAATCGTATCCATACCCTGAAGTACCTCTGGGAAGGTCTAGGCCAGGGCATGGCTAACTCACAGATCAGTTGAACCCTGAAACAAACTCTGGGTAGATCTAAGTCAGGGCACGACTAACTCACAGATCGAACACTGAAACAACCTCTGGGCTGATCTAAGTCAGGGCACTGCTAACTCACAGATCAAACCCTGAAACAACCTCTGGGCTGATCTAAGTCAGGGCATGGTTAACTCACAGATCAAACCCTGAAACAACCTCTGGGCTGATCTAAGTCAGGGCACTGCTAACTCACAGATCAAACCCTGAAACAACCTCTGGGCTGATCTAAGTCAGCGCATGGTTAACTCACAGATCCAATCCTGAAACATCCTCTGGGCTGATGGAAGTCAGRGCATGGCTAACTCACAGCTGGAACCCTGAAACAACCTCTGGGCTGATGTAAGTCAGGGCATGGCTAACTTACAGGATTGAACCCTTAAACAACCTCTGAGCTGATCTAAGTCAGGGCACGGCTAACTCACAGCTGGAACCCTGAAACAACCTCTGGGTTGATGTAAGTCAGGGCATGGCTAACTCTGATCAAAGTCGGGGCACGGTCCTCACAGATCGAAGTTCAGAGGAAGTCTAGTACCGACCACATGGAGCATAGGATTATGCGATTGATTTTTTTTAGGAGACAATATCTTTGATTCTACAAAAAGGTGTGTTTCTAATTTTTTGGGAATTAAATACTTAGGAAGTCAAGGATTTTTCTTGCCATCTAAAAATGACAATAAATATGCACAGTTTCGAATCATGAATTGAAATTTGTAAACACTAGAGTTATACTCTGAGTTATACTGTAGAGTTCTCTTACGAAACCTTCAAATTTCAAAATACTTGGACTCGTTCAAGTATATATTTTCAGTAAAGAAGCCAAGTCTTATTCCAATATTCCAATCTTAGCATTCCATTTCAGACACTGGTAATTTATTTTTAGTGACGAAGTAGAAAGATGTAGAACTTATTCATGACGTTTCTAGTTATATGGGATCTTTGGGCCTTTTATAAGTCTTGTTTGGCCAAAATCAGGCACAGTCACGCTGGATCACGCACGGTAAGGAGAGTGTCACGCGACTCACGCGACTCACGCCATGATAACGCTAGTTTGGTTCSTCTCGCCACGTACGCAAGTTGAAACATGATGCCTTCAGTTTTGCTATAAGAGTATTTTGCCTTCACAATTGATGATAGAATAACGAAAGTAACATCCAGACAAAGTAAGAAAAAAAAAAAAAATCAGTTGAAGTCACTGTCATGCCGTTCTAGTTTAAAAAAAAAATGTCGAACAACCCCCTGCTATTATTTAAGATTTTTGTATCAATTTATGTGAGGAATTTCGGTCTTTCGTGGGCTTAACCTACCTCTTTGTAAACACCCCCTGGTGCTTGCCCTTCATCACTTCGGTATAATATCCGTATTGTCTTTGAATTCTATTTTAATCGTGGCACGTTTAGGAATTCCCTTTTTAGATCTATGGGTTTTTATTCCTCTATTAATTACGCAAAGAATTCAAATCCTATTTTATCCGGAAATATTTGACAAGCTAATACTGATTAGATTCCGAGATTCACTCAACCAGTGGGGTTGTGTTTACATTCCCGTTTATAGGTTAAGAATGGTTTTTGGAGTCTCTCGTCTCATCTTCCTGCTAGCTTGGCGCCAGTGTGTCGTCTCTCCTAGCGAGCCCAGTACAAACACTCTGCGTGCGACACTAAATATTTGTAGAGATCATTGGCCTATACAGTGCAGATATTTCTCGCCCACTTAGCTACTGAGATAGCGTCAAGCACATCACAGTCAATTCACAGTTTACTCGTTTAGATAAAATCTCAACGCAACAGATGTGGCCGGTGACAAGGATTAACCCATTCCATCGAGATAAATCGATATAGAGTTGGTAGTTTTCTTTTGAGAAAAGCATAAAATATTTACAAAGTGCAAAACAATTGAATATTTACGAGTAGATGCTAAATTCCTCTCTAAGCGTCCAAAAATAGAGTGAGTTCGTGGGAGGTACGAATCAAATCAAAATAAATGAATATTTCAAGAACATTCGCAGTATGTCTAAACACTGCGTAATCTGTCTCTGCTGCCATCACAGCAGCGTCCATTCTTTCTGTGGCATAGGACAGCATGGATGAATGAGAGAAATATTCCAAGTCGGTTTATGTACGTGCTGTAGCTTGACATGATTCTGGCTTCACTAGACCAAAAACTACAGCCAGTAACCGGCCGAGTATATAATGGATGCTATGCCTACTTCCGATAACTTCAATATAACAATAGAGTCACCACGGGATTATTACGCTGTTGACGTCTTCCGAAATTCTGAATACTGATACTGAAAAAAATTCATGAAAGAAACATTAATAGAAAAACTATACAAATTTATGGCGATAAATAATTTTCTCATTCCACCAAAGTAGTCACGACAGTGTTCCTAGAATATAAGTAGGCGCATAAGAAATAGAATAAGAAGAGGAATAGGGAAAAAAGTGGCTTCGCCGTGCCCTGTGTGAGAGAGTAAGAGTGAGTTAGCCCTGCATTTATTTGATCATCACAGAGGTTGTTTCAGGGTTTTATCTGTGAGTTAGCCATATACCCTGACTTAGATCAGCCCAGAGGTTGTTTCAGTGTTTAATCTGTGAGTTAGCCGTGCCCTGACTTGAGGTCGGCCCAGAGGTTGTTTCATGGTTCAATCCGGGTACTCTTGCCCGTTTAGGGTAGGGATGTGCCGCTGAGCCCTCTGAACCCTGACCCTATTCCCATGTATTCCAGAGTGAAAACGCTGAAATTCATACCCTGTTCCAGAGCAAGATTGCTGAAAATCATACCCTGTTCCGGTAGTGCAAAAATAGATACCCTGTTTCAGAGAGGAGAGAGCGTGATTTC